AATACCTGAGAAAGGTGTGGAGGAGCATCCTCGACATTTAGAAGTAAAATCCATGCAGCCGGGCTGGGAGCACTGTTCCCTTATGTGTGGCCATGAAAGAAGGGTTTTGAAGATTCTTGGAATCACAGTGGAGAGGGGCAATGGTATTTTCCTTGGGGGTCATGATGGGTAAAGTGCACTGTCGGCGAGCAGCATTTTGGCTCAAGAGAGGAATTAAAGAGGGCAACTCCTTCCTCTTTATTTGTCTGAGGTTGAGGGTGTGGAGCAAGTGGCTTCTGGAAAATGAGATAGGGGCATCTTTATGGAAAAAAAAGCTCTAGATTCATCAGGGTGTTGGTAATAAAGGGCGGTGGAGAAAGGTGAGCCTTGGGGCCAAGGGGTAGGAGGAGGGGAGTGTCTTCAACACAGAGGAAGGATTCTGGGGTGTTCTGAATGGAAGGGGGCTGGATGGTGGTCTGTCTCATCCTTGAAGAGGGAGGTGATAATACAGGATGGGGCTTCCAGTGAAGTCAGTCATTTTCTACAGCAGCGTTCAGACATAGGTGGGGGAGTGGGGCTTCAAGGTTCGAGTGGAATGTTCGGAAGATTCTTAGTGAAAAAGTGGAAGATTCTTAGTGAGCAGTAAACAAAAAGGTTTCTGGTTGAGCCTCAGAACTGGAAAAGCAATTACACAGAAACAGTATTCCCCATGTGTCCTAATTAATCTAGTGGGTTTACTTAAAAACTTGTTTTTGAGCATAGATACCAACAGGTCCTCTGGTGAGTTGAAAGATGTCTTACTAGTGAAGGCTTTGTAAAAGTAATAGTTTGATTACTTTTTAGAAAAATGATTAGTTCTAGGGAACTTCAATTGAAACGGCATTGAGTGGGTTTGCCAAAGCCATAGATGTTGATGTAGTGACCCATTTGGTTAAATCTGGGGGCCTTTTTTACTGGAACTTTAGAACTTAGCTATAAAGGCAGATGCTTATTTAGGGCACACTGGAGTTGTTGTTATTATTGTTATAAAAACAGAAATATTATTTATTTTTCTTTTCCTAGCCTTGTCAATTGAAGCGGACTGGCATTTTATTTATGAACTGACAACACATACCTTTTTTTGCAGCTGATGTGCTTTTTGAACTGGGTTCAGCATTATCAGAAAGTTATTCACAGGAGTTGGTGATGGAGTCTGCTCCACCCACTTCTGTTCCCTTTCTATTTTGGTGCCATTTGCAACAAAGGGAACTAAGTAAATGAGAGACGAGTTGAAGCTCTCACAAATGCACTCCTTCGTATCAGGTTGTGTAACCCATTAGACACAATGGGCCTGCTCTTCCTGTGGCTCATGGGACCTGAAGGAACATCCGGGTAAACCCCATGAGGTGGCCTTGGCCGTGGGGCTCCCAGGTCTTCTGAGCAATCACTGCATTAAAAAAAATCTATAAATATATATGTGTATAAGTCTATATATTCATATGAACCATATATACATTTGTGTATGTTTATGTGTGTATATGTATACACAGACATCTATACATACATATTTATTTACTTTAGGTGTGTATATAAAATTCCAGATTAAGCATTCTCAAACCAAGGGAGAGCCAGTGGACAAGACATTGAATTTGACTTTTGTATCAGGGTACCTGAGGGAAATAGATGGCTTCTACCTCTCTGAGGCCTGAAGGGACAGGGACAGGAACAGAGAGGGTAGTGGTGAGTGGCACCTGGAGAGAGTTGTGGTATGGAGTAGGCTACCTGGCAGAGGCTGTGATTGGTCAGAGAGGGACTCAGACCACCTGCAGTGCCCAGTGGAACAAGGAGCTATGGGACTGAATCCCCCATCTTCTCTGGCCTCCTGAGAAGAGATCTTCCATGAGTTGAACCCAGCTGGAAGTCAGAGGGCAGCCTTCCAGGACACAGAGCAGGGTCGGGGGGATGGCAGGTGGAGCATCTGGAGAAGCAGATGGAAAACCATCTAGTGCATTTTGTTCTGGAACACCTTTGCATGTTACACTGCTGTACTCACCCAGGTAATGAGGGTGAGAGGTCAAGGTGGGAAATGAGGTTCCAAATCTTCAGGGTGCTTAGAAAACATCTAGCTTTAGAACAGCAGTTCTGAAAGTGTGGTGCTCAGACCAGTAGTACCAGAATCACCTGAGAACTTTCTGGAAATTCTCAGGCCCCACCTTGGACCTACTGAATGAGAATCTGTGGGAGGGGCCCAGCAATCTGTGTTTTATGAACCTTCCTGGAGACTCTGGTGCTTGCTCAACATTGAGCATCGTTGCTGGAGGTCTGTGAGGTACTGGAGGCTCAGCAAGCCATGTCTCCCTCCTAATATGACCACAGGTAGCATGCTCATAATGCCCATGTTCAATGTGTAGTCCATGTCAGTCCCCTGCTTGAAATTCTGCAGACCCCATTGCTCCCTTTAGAGGATAGCCATTCTTCAATAGAAATGGAATAATGGATTACATTTAGGCCGTGGGGGCTAATACCCAATGTGGTTTATTCCTTTAAGTTCCAAGTTCTCCTCTCAGCTGTGCAGAAAGTTCCAGGGCAGGCAGCAGGCTTTTGGAGGTTGTTTTTGAAAACTAGATGCAAATGCTCCCTGTGCTGTTGTTGTTTTCCGGGTGCCTGGCAGTGTTTGGTAAACAACTTGATTGCTAGGTCCTGGCCTCAGGGAACCACAGCTGCTCTTTCTAGCTCCCTGCAGACTTTTGTACAGAGCAGGGATTGCTTCAGAGAAAAACAAACAAGGGAGAACAAAACAAGAAAACATCACTGTTGTTTTGTTGCTGCCTCTACCTGTTTTCCCAGAGCTGTTTAGCAACCGCAGGCCCTGGGCTTTTGGTTCCCTTGCTTTCAAAAACAAGGCAGGTCTCCATGGCGTTCCAGGCTTCTTTCTCCATGGTTAGACTGTGGCATTTGGGGTAGCCACAGGACTTGGAAAGCCTTGGAAAGGACTTAGTAGCCACTGCCAGAATGTGTGCATTTTAAAACACATAAATTAAAAAGGGAGAAAGCTTCATTCTTTCTAATAACCCCCAAGATGGTAATCTGGCTTTTCAGATCTCTAGAAAAACAGATTGGATATGGCACAATGAATGTTTCAGCACTTCTAGGCTTTTCTCTAAAATGTTTTAATGGGCTTTTAATTTATTACAGCTCCTGATTAGCAGGGTTAAGGCAGGGTTACTGCTGACCTCCTTGGCCAGGGTGCTCCTGATGCTGCAGTGAAGGGGAACAGAACAAGGGCTTGCCGGTGTTTCTGGCCAGAACTTCCCAAGGCTGAGCCCCCAGGGGCTCACTGAGTTCCTAGCCCTAAAGTAGTTAGAAAGCAACACAGCACTCTTCAGATCTGCATCTCAGTTACCTTGGGTATCTGGTAAAAATGCAGATTCCTAGAATCTTACTGAGAATCTCTGGACTGTGGAAGGCAAGAATCTGCATTTCAAGCTGGTGCCTCAGTTGCACATGCAAGTTTTCTGATCATGGCCTTGGTCATTGATACTGCTGCAGTGTACATAAGTGAGCTGGGGTACAAAGCAAGTGATGGTGCTGCCAGGTTTTTAAAAATATGTTGAGACCTGCGTGTTGTTTTATTAATAGATCTACTTTTCATTTACTTACAAGTTCCTCATTATTTTGGCTTTCCTGTACTTTCTTAAGTCAGAGAACATTCTTCCTGCAGTCATTTTCTTTTGACATGAAATAAAACTTTTAGCATGTCCTTCTGTTTATCTGAAAAAAACTCATATTTCACCCTCATTTTCGAAAGATAGTTTTTCTGGGTATACAATTCTGGGTAGACAGTTTTTGCCTCTGGGCTGTATTGTAGATAATTTATTTGGGTATCTATCTTCTCTTCTGGGAAGTGTGTGTGTGTGTGTGTGTGTGTGTGTTTTAGCTGCTGTATTTCTCATTTCTACAGCTCAGAACAGTTAAATATTTTGGTTAGTTATAGAGCTCCATGAAGAATGGAATTCATTCTTTCATCTGTTGGATTCTTTTTTTTTTTTTTTTTTCTTTTTTTTTTGTCTCTTTCTGTGTCCGGCAACAGATCGCAACCCTCAGTGTCGCCCCCGTACCGGACCGGGACCGGCAACGGGATCGCAACCCTCGGCGTTGCTCCCGCGCCTCGCTCAGCCAGTGAGCGGGAACCGGTCTGTATGTGGGATCCGAACCCTCGGCGGGAGCGCCACCATGCTCCCAAGCGGCGCACTACAGCAGTGCGCCACCTGGCCGGCCCCATCTGTTGGATTCTTAACAAAACACACAGAAAACAAAAACATTTCCACAAATCACAGTGGTGATTTGTCCTTTATTTTTGGATGATGAGGAGACTAGAATCTTGAGATGTTAAATGACTGTCTTGGGGCCACAGGATTGATGGTAACACCAAGTTCAGAATTTAGGCTTCTCAACTTTGAGCCTTGACCATTCCACAGTATGTTCTCTCTTGATGGAAATATCCTCATGAATTTGCCCTTCCTGTAATTCATAACTATTTTAGAAATAAAATAGAATTATATTGGAGGAAAAAGTCATGGTTGCCTTTCACTAGTTTTAATGATCATTATTATTATTTAAAAATAATCTTAAATCATTATTATTTAATAGTTTCATATGGTTTTTTTAATCCTCTGGTAAAGATAATTTAATAGGAAATGGTACATTTATCCATGTAAGATTTGAGTTAAAACAGCTTATGAACACTTTATGATGGGATAGTTTTGTAATACTCAAATATTTAAAATATTTAATACAAAGTCCACAATAAATAATAACCTTCCAGTGTACATGTTGAAGTAATTAGTAAACATATCTTTCAGAACAGTATTTCCGGTTCATATTTGACAGCATCACACTTGAGGTATTGACATACCCTCATTTGAACGGTGTTTTCCCCCACCTCTAGATTCTATGTCTGTCTTGCTGTTTTCAAGTTTAAGGAAGTGGTGGTTTTAGAAGTTACATCTTAGTTATGTGTAAAAAATATTTTTGTGTTGCAGTGTCCCAGAAGCTTTTGCTGACAATTCCAGTTTCCGAACAAAACATTTCGGCGATGGTGAGGGCTTTGATCCCTTCTCTGATTTGTTTTCAACCATGCACGGCTGGATGTGATGCCTGCTAGTCGAAAGGGTGAGTGAATGTTTGTGGTTATTCATCTGAAAATTCACAAGACAAAAAGTCCATCAGGACAGTTGCCCACTGAGGATGAGACAAAGTTCCGGGGATATCACTTGCATTCAAAAACCTTTTCTCAAAAACGGCGCGATCCTGAGAGCTGTGAGCTGTGATACCAGAGTATTGACTGCATTTCTGAGAGGTGAGTGAATGTTTGTGGTTATTCATCTGAAAATTCACAAGACAAAAAGTCCATCAGGACAGTTGCCCACTGAGGATGAGAGATTCTCAGCTTGAAGGAGGGGACCAACTGTCATTGTTTTCTCTTATAACCTTTTCAGATCATTCCTATAATAATCTGAGAATTTATACAAGACATAAGGCACAGGAGAACTTTTTTTGTTTGCTTGTTGGTTTTATTCATACTCTGAAGGGTGAACTATCCAAATTATGGACCACATACACAATTAAATGAGTAATTGCTTTTTTGGTCAGCTTGGTGGATAACATGAACCACCATGAAATAAGACTACAATTACTTCACCTTTAGTTTTTGGGAAAATTTAAATCTTATTTGTTCATTGAGATGGTCCCGTCCCAAGCCTTCCACATGATTAGGGCATTGAGGAAGCCAAAAGCTTGGAAACTTTAGGTACTCAAAGGTTTTCTGAAAGACTTCTGGTCATTTTTTCTATTATAGTTTACCTCCTCAGAAATCAGTGGCTCCTCTTTAGTAATGAACATTGTGACTTGCTGTTATCAGAGACAATAATTGCTTGAGGCCAGGTGTTTGGGTGAAAACTCATAATTCGTTGGTAGCTTTGTCATAGAATGCGGTCAATTTTATGGGGAATCATATAGTTCCAGGTTTTATAATGAATGGCATTTGATGGTACAAGCTTTTGGCATAAACTCATCTTATTTGTCTTAGGAAAGTTGTATTCAAAACAGATTTTGTGGAATGGAGGGAAGTATGGAGTGAAGCAGAAAGAGCACTACGTTGGAAATTGGGAGACCTTATAGTCCAGATATGGGGCAAATTAGTCTCTCTTTTGATTTCCTATATTTAAAATAAAGCACTTGTGATAAGAAAAATGCGGTGTAAGTACACAATGGAATACTACTCTGCCATAAAAAGGAATGAAATTCTGCCATTCATAGCAACATGGATGAATTTAGAGAAAATTATGTTAAGTGGAATAATCTAGGTATAGAAAGAGAAATACTGCATGTCCTCACCCATAAGTGGGAGATGAAATTAATGAATAAAGAAAAAAAAAAAGGAAGAAAGGAACACAGTCAGAATAATTCATTGAACTTTCAAAAGGGAAGAATGGAACTGAGGCTACCAGAGGTGGTGGGATAGGGAGAGGTGGAGGAGGGGATTAGGGAGAAATTGGGAAATTGGTGAAGGGCCACAAAAAAATGTTTATATTGCGTAATGATAAAATATATATGCTCAAGCAAGTTAAAAATAAAATAAGTAAATAAATAAAGCACATAGATTAGAAAATCCTATTCTGTCAATACTACCAAGGCCCTAGAAGTGGTCTGTTTAAATCACCTTGGTTTACAAATGGGACAGCTGAAACCTGTAGAGTCTAATTGGGATGTCTAAGTCCCTGGGCTTGGTCAGGACCCGATACTAGTTATTTGGATGCCAATCATTGATTCTTTCTAGCTTATCTCAATTACAGAGATTAAGACATCCAGCCCATTCAGCTTAGTAAACCTCTTTTGATGATATGTGTCTAAGACATTGTAATGCATTCAACTGTTTGGACCAGATTTTTAAAGATTTTATAACTAGAAGTCATTTTGACAAATCCTTCCAATTTCATAGATTTTTAAAAAAAATAGCTTTAGTGAAGCAACTAGTCCAAATATCAGAGACCAGGTGATCCTTCAAGAGCCTGTTGGCTATACAATTTACTTTCACTTGGGCTAGTTTAACTAGTTTAACTAACTAGTTGTACTTTGTATTCCATTTTGCTGGAGGTAGAAATAGAGAGGAAAAAAATCCAGTCTTCTGTCTTCCTTAAAGTATTCTTTCTTTCATTGGCAAGAAATAAGGCAAATAGTAAACAGTAACACATAAGGCAAGGTGTCTGCAGTGAAAAGAAATGGCTAATGGAGTCATGGAATTTTAGAGCGGTTGGAGAACTTCAGTCATTTTATTAGGTGGTCTTGGGCAATTCTTTTGGTTCCCTCACCTTTGAACTTCTGATGTTTTCCATTGCTACACAGCTATGATAGACTTTTGTGAATGGTCTGTAGATTAGTGAGCAGGTAGAACATGTTAGGAAAATTTATATCTTTGAGAATCCGGGTAGTGTTGAGAACAGAGCCTGGGTCTGTGTCATGTAACCATGAGAATTCATAGATGTGGTTGGAATTCTGAAGGCATTAAAACAGCAACACACTTAGGTTTTTGGTTACCTGTCATCTCTGTCTTCAGTATTGAGAGAGTCTGACTGAATCTCACAATCATAAAATTGATGTATGAAATTTAACAAAACCACATGAATGGATTTATTGAAGACTAGGCTTATTTTATTCATTAATTTCAGTTGGGTAAGGCCCACTATTTGAAAAATCAATCCAAAGAACTATAATGAAAATGATATCTCTTATTTCAGAAAAAAAGTGCTATTAGGCCCAGTAGAATACTGATTTTTTTCTAAATAAGGAAGTGGTTTGTATTTATCGGACTGTAATAAACTTCCTCTCACTGTATTTTTAGTAGGAACTAGAGGCATCCAAAATCCTATGAGCTGGAGCATGCGTTCTGATTTTCTAGCCTCCTCCCAAATTTTCCTCAAGGCACACCTGCAACATTTGCTCAAAGAACTAAGCTCTGTGATGTGAGAACATGGCCGTCCATGCATTAAGCATCTGAAAGCTAGTTAGTTCTTCCATTGTCAAAAACTTATTCACAGTCCTGTGCCTTTTAGAACTTTACAGTTTATTGAGTAACCCAAAGAAGTACCAATTAATTGTTACAGCTGGTAATTTGGAGTCTTTAGTCTTGAAAAGAGAAGCATTTCCTGGTAAGTGTCCTCCTGGGAGAACAGGGTCAGAGTCACAGGGGTGGGTGGCCAGAACAACAAATCACCTCACTCTCAAATGCAACAAAATGGAACCATGAGACAAAAGGTTTGCACAAAGAGATCACTGTGGCAAATTTTTTAAGGTCAGAAAATGAGTAATGTACGCAATTTATGTTGTTGATAAGCATGCCTGTCTAATAAGTTAACTTAGGGGCAGGATGCAGAGAAAGAAGGGCTGAGCACTTCAGGTCTCTATGCCGTGGTTTGTTAATGCAACCGTTCACCAGGAGAGAATCACCAGGAGTTGGCTGCTGCTTTCCCGGTGTGAAGCTGTAGTTGATATTGATACCTACATGATGCAAATCATGAGACTCCTAGGGGAAGAGTGGCTAAGTTTGCTGCATATTTAATAGGCAGTTGGCCAAAATGTTATTAATAAATGTGATAACAACAGTCTGTATTTGCATAGAGTTTTCCTGAGAAGAGTTGACTGGAACTGCTTGGGCATTGCACTGTCCCTACCAATACTACATTGTCCCTTGTCGACAGATCTGGTATAAGGGTGTAAGTGTCCTGTGACATTGTTATGTCTTATTTGGCCACAGTTCCTCTTTTGATCTCTTTTATAATCAAGTTTCTGGCTTTTGACTTACTAGGAAGAGGTAAAAGCATGGCAAAATACATCCTTCTCACTTGACTTGGTAAGGGGCTATTTTTTGGCTGAGGGCTCCTTGCTTTTTAAAATAAAGCTCAAGAATGTGGATTTTTTTTGTCATGGGTTTTGGGGTGGGGTGGTGGCAGTACAGCTTCCAGGAGAAGGTGGTTGCAGCAGGTAGGTGCTTTGGGATAAGAATGCTGGCTGGAGGGCTCCCCTTCTGGGCCGCCTTGTGCTGTAGTCTGTCCTTGGGTCTAGCTACTCTGTTGTGCTAACTTCCAGTCCCTGAAATTTTGACTTTGAAAAGTAATTTTAACAATTTAATAAACTACATAATATGTTTTATAAGCTGGAGTGAATGATCTTAAGTATTTTGGTCTCTTTCATAACACAATGAACCTAATATTGGTAAAAATACAGATCTTCACTCACACCATAAAGAGAGGCTAGATTTAATAAGCAGTTATGAGTGCTGGCAGCTGCCTATCAGATTGTATAACTTGGGCCCCAGCACGCGAAGACAGTGTCAACTTACATTTTATCTCCAAAGTATTTTCTAGGTGTTTATTTTGCCTTTCTCTCCAGTCCCTAACCTAATACAAGTAATGTAATTGGCTGAATATTTTCCACATAGCTAATTGGCTAGGGGCCAAGGTGGAAATGGTGTCTGGCTTGATGAAGATCAGAAATTAACATGACATTTACGTGGAGGTAATGGAATATATTAGTAATGTAGTAACTCAGGATGGTGAGAGAGCGTGTCCATCCTTCCCCGCCCATATGAGCAGCAGAAGGAGTTCTGAGGGTGATGGGAGAACCTCCATCCTCTTCCCAGACCCCAATACCACACAGCAGTGCCAGCCAATCCCTATGTCACATTCTTCAGACAGAATTGTAAGACAAACTAATGAATGGTTCCGTTTGTCATTAAAAAAGAAAATCCACCAACCGCTGTTGTAAGATTAAATTCCAATTAGAAGATTGCATTTAATTCGGAAGCTATAACATTGTTCTAATGAATTCTGTTGGAGGTGACAGTTTATGTGAGATAAATTTATATGGTGTAGGTAGATATAAATTCATTGGATAATGTTAAACATGTTACTTCATATATATTAGCTGTGAAATTTATTCCTTCTCTAGTTATGTCCCCAAGGAGGTAGAGTCAGAGGGAAAAACATATCTTCAAAGAAAGAACCCTTTCTGTCCTTTCAGATACTTGCTCTAAAATAGCCTTTTCTCACTTTTATTTTTCAAAAAAATCTGTTAAATGTCTGCATTAACTGAATTTATGATTCTTGGTGTATGCT